AAATTGTTCAGCGTTGTCAAAGCTTCGTAGATGTAACACCTTGCCGTTATCTTAATTTTCTTCTTATACTCTGTCGGTGGGAAGTACATTTTCATAGGTTGTAGTGCTGTCAATTGCTCCTTGGAATCCTATAAAAAACATTCAGTTGTACCAAGTTTTTCCAGTATTACAAATAAAATCCGATTAGTTGTACCAAGTAATTCTAGTATTACAAATAAAATCCGATTAGTTGTACCAAGTAATTCTAGTATTAGAAATAAAATCTGATTAGTTGTACCAAGTAATTCTAGTATTACAAATAAAATACAACTAGTTATATCTAGTTATACTAGTATTACAAGTAAAATCCGACTAGTTTTATCTAGTTATACTAGTATTACTTAAAGAACCAAAAATACTGGTATTATCTAGTTATACTAGTATTACATGTAACAACCGAATAGTTTTATCCTAGTTATACTAGTATTCCTTAACAACTACAAATCCTAGTATTACCTAGTTATACTAGTACTACATATCACAAAGACCTGTTTTATCTAGTTATACTAGTTTTCCCTTGTTCTACCTAACAAAAACAATTTATGTTTGTCCTAGTTCTACCTAACAAAAACAATTTAGTTTCCCCTAGTTCTACCTAACTACGAATCCAATCCAATGGAATCGAAGTACTTACAATACTTCCATCTTCCTCGTCCGAGTTTTGTTCTCCCTCTCCGTCTTCTTCTTTATTGTCTTCTTCTGCATTCTCTTTCTCATTCGAGACATGATCTCCTTCTTCTTCAGTCTCTTTGTCATCATTCTCTTCATTGTCTTCTTCATGTCTCTCGTCAATGGGAACTCTAGATCCTTCCCCTCTTCGCCAATGGGAACCGTAGTTCCTTCAACCTCTTCTTCAATGGCATCAATCGGCGGATCCGAACTGCTTTGACCCTTCTCCACTTCAGCAATCGGCGGATTCGCATTTTAAGCAATCTTCTTCTTCATCTTTTTTGTCCAATTTCTCCTGGCCATTAATTCCGATTGTCTCGATTGAAAGTGCAGAGATTAAGAGGATCGAGTTCGAGAGAGAGGAGATGGAAGCGGTTTGAAATTGAGTGAATTAGGAATGAAGAGTTAGGAGTTTGAGTTTTATGAGTTTTATGAAGGAGTTCGAGGTTCCGACAGTTTTGGGGGTGAAGAGGAGCGTGAGGAGCTCGACAGTTTGGATTGAATCTCTTTCAGGTTAGGGATTTTAGTTTCGGGTTAGGAGTTCGATCCGATTTTAATTGGGTGGGTGGGTAGATACCAGGTTTTAATGTAAATACTTGTAGTTAAGTAGGGTTTTAAGTAGTATTAATACTTTTTTGAATTAGAATTAATTGAAAACAAAATAAAATTAGAAGGGGGATATTTCAGATTTTTGTTTAAGATGGAGGGGTATTTTGATGTCTCCTCTTAAGGTATTACATATCGTGTTCTAATACATCACTGCATAACAAATGGGTGAAGAGCCAATATGCCCATAAGAGTTTGAAAAAAATCTAAGTACCCCTCTCATAATCTGACTGCCCTCCCTTATTCTTCTCTCTGTTTTGCCATCACCCTTCTTCATTAATATAATAATATCCTACAGAAAATAAAATAAATAAAAATAAAACAAATCCACAATATTTTAAATTAATTCTCAACTAATTTTCAACCACTCACGGGCCCCACATCTTCATCTTCTTCATGGTTGTTTGGCGGATCCACCTGCATTCCTGTTTTCCAAAACAAAACATTCTCCATCTTGAAGCTGTTTGGGAATTTCATAAGGTGAGTCCGTTTTTTGCTGCATTATCTCCTTTACATGCGCTTTGAATCTTAGAATAATGGGGAGTGCTACACATTGTTGGTCTTGGTCCACCAATGGCGCCATAGTTCTGAAATTTTTGTGGATCATTGGGTTATTGAAATTCTTTGCTAAGGGTATTAGGTCGGTAAATAGGAGCAGTTATAATCATTAAATGCGCATCAAATCATCCTGATTCATAGTAAATCATTGTAGATTCGTAGATAAATAGAAATTTTCTGGGTACATGAACTGGGTATTACTGGACCAACTGGTATTACTAAAACATTGGGTAATAATGAGACCAACTGGTATTACTAAGACGGCGGGTAATACTGAGAGCAACTGGTATTATTGAGACATATACTAATGGTATTTGTTATTGTTGTTCATGGGACAATGAATATAAGTCGTTGCACTGTTATATGCTTCGATTATGGGGGATCTTATTCAAAGGAAGGTGATGTCATAAGATGGGTATCAAGAGAGGATGAAATTCACATCTTAGTGATGAAGACGTCTGTTAAGGAGGTAACTTATGTTGGGTTGATCAGGGGAATATGCAGGAAGATGAAGATAGATGAAGCTAATACGCAGCTGAAAGTCAGTTACTTTCCATTGGTAGTGGATCCTAAGCCATCATATATTTGGAATGATGAGAATGTTTTTGGCTACCTGATGCAAGTGAATAACGATACATATAGAAGTGTTTTGCAAGTAGAGATCGTGGAAGATGTCGATCATGGTTTTGTGCGACCTTCAAGAGAGGATCGCGAAAGTGTAACTCTTCCAAGTAATAAGCAGGTGTTTTCAAGTGGTTTGGATGTTAATGCTGGTATAATTACTCTTCACCGAGGTGAACCATCAGAAGACCATCAAGCAGAACAAAGAAATGTGTCAAGGGAAGAGGTTAATGATATTGAAGATGGACCTGCTATAGAAGAAGTACCAGTAAATAGTGGCTGGGAAGATTGTATTGAAATGATTGTAGGTCAAAAATTTAGAAGAAAGAAGAAGGTGTAAGATTTAGTTCATATAGGCTCACATCAGAATTGTTTTGAGGTTGATACAATCAAGTCTGACAAAAAGCGATATGTGGTAAAATGTCGCGAAGAAAAAAATGGTTGCAAGTGATCTTTACGAGCTGCAAAGTTGATGGAATCAGATTGTTTCTCGGTAAGAACTTACAACAAGATGCATACATGCTCTCGAGCTTATGCAGTTACAGTCAGGAATAAAAGGAAAGGGACACCGGGATTGGTTGCATCTATTGTGCATGAAGATTATCCAAGTAAATTTGACACTCCAACTCCAAAACATCTGATCGATATGGTTCAAGGAAGATTTGGGGTTAAAGTATCATACTCTACTGCTTTGAGGGGGAAAAAAAAAGCTGCAAATGATGTGCGGCGAAGTCCAGCTGAGAGTTACCATTTGGTGTATTCTTATATGTACATGCTAAAGTTGATGAATCTTGGTACACGGACTTATGCGGAATTGGAAGAAAACAATAAGTTCAAGTAACCATTCTTTGTGTTAGGAGCTAGCATTGATGGATTCCAAGCCATGACAAAAGTCATTGTTGTGGATGGAACCCACCTTAAGACTGGATATGGTGGTGTTTTGTTAGTTGCTACAGCTCAAGATCCTAATCATCACCATTATCCAATTGCGTTTGGTATAGTTGATGGTGAGAAAGATGCTAGTTGGATGTAGTTTATGAACAGGCTGAAATCAGTGATACCAGATGATCCTGAATTGGTGTTTCTTTTTGATAGGAACCCAAGCCTCATCAAGTCTGTGCAGGTGGTGTTTCCGTTGTCTCGGCATGGGTATTGTATACATCATTTCTCTCAGAATGTAAAAGCGAATGTCTACTACGTCAACAAAGATACATGCGTGAGGAAGTTCAAAGAATGCACTCATGCGTATACAGAGAGTGAGTTCCTAACACTTTTTGATGCTTTTAGAACCAAGTATCCTTCTGCTGCCTAGTATCTCGATGGTAGTGTTCCTGTGGACAAATGGGCAAGATGCTATTTTCCAGGAGAAAGGTACAACATAGACACCTCCAATATTGTAGAATCTATTAATGGTGTTCTTAGGAAAGCAAGGAAGTACGCTCTATTACCAATGATTGATGTGATTGTTGAAAAGCTGGCTGAATGGTTTAACAAGCATAGGAACAGTTCTTCTGAAGTATCAAGCATCCAGAAGCTTGTGCCTTATGTGGAGAAAGAAATGCATAAAACATCACCGGAAGCGAATAAATTAACGGGGCATGAGTTGAACGCCTTCTTCCTTGAATTTAATGTCATTGGAAAAGATGGCAAGTGCTAGTTGGTTGATTTTAAAAGGAAAAGCTGTAGTTGCAAGTGTTTTGATATAGCCAAATACCCATGTGTGCGTGCAATAGCTGCTGCCATCTTTATGAGTGGAGGTAGGGAACTTCATCTACAAGAGTTTTTCTCTAAATATTATTGGATGGAGCTATGGACATTAGCGTATTCCAGGACGATTTATCCAGTACCACACAAGTCTGATATGATTATTCCTGAGCATATTCAAAATCTGGTTGTCATACCACCGGATTATGTCGCAAAAGAAAGAAGAACTCAAGAAAACCGGTTCCCATCAGCTGGAGAACACCGAGGAAGAGGGAGAGGGACAGGAAGAGGAAGGGGAAGAGGAAGAAGAGGAATGTGGTCATATTTCTTTAGTGGTAATAGTGAGGCTGGTGAGGCTGCTGATGCTGGTGATGCTGGGCAAACTGTGTAACTCGTTTGTGTTTATTTTGTGTATTCAGAACACTTTGAACAACTGGTGCAACTGATAGTATTTAAGACTCGGCTTGTTACTGTATGTTGGCATTTGACTCAGCTTTTTTCCCGGTTTGGGGTATTCAGATCCACTTTTCTCTCTCATCCTCTCTCTTCTCTCTACTCCTTCTCGACGACCCGTCGTTTTCTTCCTCCTCCGTTACAGCGATTTCTGGTTTTGAAGCTCCAAGGCACTAGCTAGTAATATTGAACCGAGAAAATCTGGATTTTGCTCTCTTTTTACAGTGACTATGGACATAGCGATGCAGACTATGGGATTCTGAAAAATTTTCCATGTGGTGGACGAATCATTGAGAAGAGTGAATTATCTGAGTCCTACCAAGGAAGAAGATATTTCACGTGCAATGTGTATGCGGTGAGAGTAATTTTATTCTGCCTTAAATAATTAATCGCAATACTGAACATGAGATTTTTGTGACTTAATGTGAAGGATGATGGCTACCACGTTCATAAATGATGGGAACTTGTTGTTGAGGAAGAGGTTGATAAATTAAGGAAGGAAGTTGATGAGCACTCGAAGAACATTGAGAACCTTCACTATCAAATGGACTGCATCTTTATAGCGCTGAAAACAAAAACTGATGAGATTGCAGAAGTGAAAGAGATAGTTGCTGGTCTTGTGGAACGTAATGTCTAGAAGAAGGATCAAAGGGTTTGTTTGAACTTGTAAGTTTTTTTTTATTTGAATTTCGAACATTCAATATAGAAAAATAACTATTAAGTGTTTAAAAATTGTGTATTAATTTATTTAGAGTTTTTATTTTATTATTAAAATTATTAGAAAAACCTACATTTAATATGACACAAACAAACAATTATCCAGTACTTAAAAAATGTGTATTAATTAATTTAGTATTTTTATTTGATTTTTTAAAATTATTAGAAAAACCTGCATTCGATATGAAACAAAAAATCCTGAACATGAGATTTTTGTGACTTAATGTGAAGGATGATGGCTACCACGTTCATAAATGATGGGATCTTGTTGTTGAGGAAGAGGTTGATAAATTAAGGAAGGAAGTTGATGAGCACTCGAAGAACATTGAGAACCTTCACTATCAAATGGACTGCATCTTTATAGCGCTGAAAACAAAAACTGATGAGATTGCAGAAGTGAAAGAGATAGTTGCTGGTCTTGTGGAACGTAATGTCTAGAAGAAGGATCAAAGGGTTTGTTTGAACTTGTAAGTTTTTTTTTATTTGAATTTCGAACATTCAATATAGAAAAATAACTATTAAGTGTTTAAAAATCGTGTATTAATTTATTTAGAGTTTTTATTTTATTATTAAAATTATTAGAAAAATTTACATTTAATATGACACAAACAAACAATTATCCAGTACTTAAAAAATGTGTATTAATTAATTTAGTATTTTTATTTGATTTTTTAAAATTATTAGAAAAACCTGCATTCGATATGAAACAAAAAATCCTTCACCTCCATTATGATGCAGTCATTACGAAACAAATAACTATGAAATAAACAAATAATTATGAAACAAACAAAGATCATTTACACAACAAACACCATACACTTCTATGAACACTTTCTTAATACTAACCACCATATGAAGCCATAGACAGATACAATGAGTTTTAAAACATTTTTTAACAAAAGAAGGACTAAAATCATCTGTAAAACTACAAACAGAAAATTTATTGTGGAGTATAACAATATAAAGTTAAAACACCCAAAAGTTAAAAACACCCAAAAGTACAACTATTTGAAAAATGGTATAACTAAAAAACTATGGATTACTAAGTATAATTTTGGCGGTGTCCACGTAAGCACAAAACGGTGACGTGTTATTTTGGTAGCAAACGTGTTATTTTGGTGGCAAACGTGTTAGAGGCGAGAATTTTTTAGAAATCCAGGACGGTTTTTCCCGGTTTAGGGTAAATTGTAGAAATCGGGGTCCAAGGGATTTCTTTCACTTCTCAGATTCAAGATTCCTCCCTTCTCTCTCTCATCCTCCTCCCCCCCCCCCCCCCTTTCTTCTCCTTTCTTCCTCCGAATTTTTTTGGCCTCTCCTTCTTCCTCTCCTTTATCTTCGTTCGGGTTCGTTCTCTCTTATCTCTTTAGGTTAGTTGAACCATGAGTTCATAGGTTTTGGGTTTACGTGTTTAGGGTTTATGAAATTGCTATTGCTTATTCTGGGTTGAAATTGTTTATTCTTGGTTTTGGGTTTACGGGTTAAGGGTTATCAAATTGATTCTTGGTTTTCTGGGTTTTGAGTTATGAGATTGCTTATTCTGGGTTTAGGGTTATCAAATTGATTCTGGGTTTAACTGGAATTGAAAATATTTCTATATACTGGAACAGGGATAATATGTCATTATATGATTATGGTCTTAACAACAGCAACACAACCGAGTCGCCGAGCTACCCCTTCAATAGTGGCAGTGAACCTAGGGATTCTGGGATTCCACACCACTGTTTTTATGGTAGAGCAGCCTTGCTTCAAACTACACAGACCGGCTTGAATCTTGAGAGGCTTTATTATACTTGTGTCAATAAGGATGTAAACTGATAGTTCAATTAAATTTCTGTTGTTTTTCAAAAATTATGCTTATGGATTAATGCTTGTATATGCTTGTACATGCTTAGGATGGAGATTGCCACATATGAAAATTGTGGGATGAGGCAATGATGGAGGAGTTCCGTGCCATGAAGGAAGACGTTGATGACATGCACCATCAAATTCGCTACATTACATCGGGCAGTGATGGCGATATTGTCCTTACCCACCTGATGTGGGATAGTGTTTTGCAAACCCGAGACCAGCTTCACCCTTTGATGAAATCAGTGCAGATTTGTGCTACAGATTTGACCGACCTAAAGGAGAAGGTGCTGAAACTTGAGAACATGGTGTCTCAGGAAAAAGAACTGAAGCTACTGATTGGAGTGCTTATTGCCCTCCATTCAGTTGTCATCTCCTTTTTTATCTACTTGTTCAAGTAGTTTAATTGTATGATTTCTCTTAGTTTGAAAATCTTTTTTCATTTACCTTGCACTTCAATGGTTTTATAACTATTTTTAGTGTTTGCATTTGCATTTTATGTTAAACCTTACTTGTTTGTTACTTTCTCAAACACAAATCAAAAACCAAATCCAAACAAATTAAAACACCATACCATAGTTTTAAACACCAAATGAAATACAATTTAATTTTTAGCTTAAATCCAAACATTAAATCCAAACATTAAATCCAAACTTTAAATCCAAACAATATAAAACACCACTGATATCTCATACATTTACATCATTTATGCTTGCATATAGCTCATGTTTTGGTCTCCTTTTGCATGTTTTCTTTCTCTTTAGTCTCATTTTCTTCTCCTCTTAAACTTAGGTTGTCTTTAGGTTGTAGTTTGCATTCTATATGCATTAAGGATGTTTTTAGGTACTTAAGAAGCATTTGGGAGCAAGAAGGATGTGTGGGAATGGATCAAGAAGCTAGCCAAGCTGAGGAGGAGCAAAAGGAGCTAGGGAAGGCAATTTCTGGTGTTCCATCGGTCAAAGCATGAAGTCTATTGGTCTGGCATGATCGATACAAAGCAGTAGGAACCTATCGATCAAGCCTATCGGTCAAGGAGTGACCGATGGGAATCAAGTGGATGCTCCATCGGTCAAGTGTAACGGTCAAGACTGACCGATGGGAATCCAACAAAAGCCTATCGGTCAAGGAGTGGCTGATGGGAAAGCAGTGAATGCTCCATCGATCACCCCTATCGATCACTCAAGACCGATACAGAGCAGTCCGAACTTCACTCTATTTACAACTATGCCATTATCTTAGGGCTTTGTCATTTAGTATAAATAGGCTTGATCTAATGTTTTTAGCATCAAGTTTTGTTCTTGCTTCGTTTTCTGATTACTTTTGATTTTTGTAAGATCAAATCTATCATTTTAATCAAAGTTTTGCATTTTTCTTTCAATTTCATCTATAATCTCCCTTTTAATCATGTTTAGCATCATTTATCCTTGTGATTTGGTGTTTTCCATGATGATTAGTGAGTAGTTCTCTTAGGGTTTCTAGATGTGATAGATTAGGGAAATTTAGAAGATTGATTAAGGTTTGTTAGTGCTTAATTAGGTTGATTCCTTTCTATTAATCTGTTCTTAAGCTAGATTTGTCCTGATCACATGAATCAAGAATTAAGCTTCATTTTATGCCCACCAAGTGTTTGATGAAATGCTTACCTTGTTTAATAGAGGATTTACTGGTCTTAGCTCAAGAGATTGACTGTTTGAGGAGTATTTTGACTTGAATAGAGTTGGTTATTCATGCTTGTTGAATGTTCTAGCACTAATGAGAGTTAGTTCTTGTTAGGATGATTAGCAAAGTGTTATTTGTCATGAGATTAGATTTAACTTGCTTGATTGTGAATTCTATGTCTAGGAATTAGCATTGCTAGCTTGTTTGCTTTGTCAATGATGTTTGAAACAGCCTAAGTCTTACCTTTGAATTCCCCAAGTCAATAACCACATCTAGGAACTTGTTTTCTCTTATTGAATTTCGAATTTTGCCATTTGCTCTGTTTTGTTCATTGATCATTGCTAAGTTGGTCTCTTTTGAGTTCTGTTTGGTGTTTGATCATTTAGGCTGATAGTTCTGGTTGTGTAAACAACAAATCTTCTCTGAATCCACTTGACTTAGAGATTTCTGCTTGCAATTCTAGTGTTATTCATCTTAACCCCTTGGATTGACATAAAAAATATATGCTATACTACAACTGACTAGTACAAGCAGGGTGATTGAATCAAGACTCAAAAACCTTGTATCAATTTGACGCCGTTGCCATTGAGGTTATTGTTTGGATCATCAAAGTTTGTGGAAACTTTAAGATCAAGTTTTATTTGTATTTAGTTACTAATCATCCTTGACTCTCATTGCTGTTATCAAGTGTATGAACTTAAGATCAAGAAGCTCTAGCAACTTAGTGAACTTCATAGACAACATCAATCTGTTGGATAGGGGTCAGAGAGCAAGAAGGCAACAGGAAACACATCAACACTTGGAGAGACTAGGGATGAATGTTCAGGAACCACATGTTGTGGATGATATGAGGTTCGAAGGTCCTCAAGGAGCAGCTGGTGCTCAAGGCCAGCAGGGTCAGCAGGGAGTTCAGGGCTTGCAAGAAGAGCAAGGCTCTAGAGGAGCAGCTCAGGCTCCAAGAGCAGCCAGACCAATAGGCGCAGGTGATGCACCAAACGCCTACAACAATAGAACAGGGATCATTCCTCCAGCAGTTCAGAACAATAACTTTGAGATCAAATCTGGATTGAACTCAATGGTCCAAGGCAGCAAGTTCCATGGGTTACCTCTAGAAGACCCTTTGGATCACTTCGATAACTTTGATAGACTCTGCTCTCTAACCAAAATTAATGGGGTAAGTGAAGATGGCTTAAAACTGAGACTCTTCCCATTCTCCTTAGGGGATAAAGCTCACCAGTGGGAGAAAAACTTGCCTCAAGGAAGCATCACTAGTTGGGATGAGTGTAAGAGAGCATTCTTAGCCAAATTCTTCTCTACTTCAAGGACTGCTAGGATCAGGAATGAAATCTCAGGGTTTGCACAGAGGAACAATGAGAGCTTTTGTGAGGCATGGGAAATGTTTAAATGCTACACACT